CACCACAAATTACCACAAATCCTATATATTTTTAAGATAAATTTGAGCTTATTCATGTGATTTAATATATTTACCACTCTTATTAATATTGAAGGAGAAATAGAGTATATGAGCAAGATAGGAAAAGTAATGGAAAAAGGTATGAAGTCTAACCAACTTTTAAAAATTTAAATCTAGAATTATAATTTTTTATTTTTAAAAAGTAAAAATGATTTTAAAGTTAATTTGAAACCATTTTAACTATATTTTGTTCAAATTAGTGTTCTTCCCAATTTTTGTTTGAAATTAAAAACTTAAAACTTATGATTGCATGTCCCAAAAAAACCTTAATTCATAATGCTAATGTTTTTTATATTGTATGATGCTTTAGAAATTATCTTTATTTGTATAATACATGCTTTATTCGAATTATTATTTTTTCAAAATAAAATTTCTTGCTATAAAAACTGTGGATTCATGTTAATATGAATTATTTTTAAATAATATAATTAATTATTAATAAGTATTATAAATGTTTTTAGTAAAAAAACATTGTTGCCTTGGCTGTGAGGTTGAGTAACAATAAAAGTTTAATTTTTTTAATTAAAGTTTTAAATCTATTATAAGTGTTTAGAAAAAAATGATAAAATTGAGATTAAATAACTAAATTAAAGCATACTCAAATTTTCTGTTTTCACAATTTTTAATTATGTTTCCATGGATTTTAAACTTCCAAAGTTATATTACAACTTTTTTATCGTAAGATTAAATAATTATAATTCCATTATAAATTATAGATTTTTTCTAATTTGAATTATTTAAAATAATAATGAATAATTTATTGAAAGTGTAAAAGTACAGTCAATTTTTTTTATAATGTTAGTTGGGATTAAATAGATTAAATTATTTTCTACAGTATTATAAATTCATAAATGCGTATTAAATTATTAAGAAATATGTTGAATTTAAATTATTAATACTTACAATACTTTTTTTAATAAATAATTTATTTAATCATGATTTATATCTTAAATATTTTTGAAATATATAGTTTTTTTATATATTAATAAAAAGAGAATTACGCGTATTTCAACAAATTTCTTTCCTTAGGGATAACACAAAAGTTAAAATAAATTGTGTAATGCATCGATACATATAAATTCTCTGTGGGTCATGATGTGATATTTCCTCAAAATTTATGTAAATATTGTATCGATACGACAAATTTTTTTCTTTTCTTCAAAATTTATGTAAATACGACAAGTTTTTTCCCTTGCCTTGTCCGATCTTTAGCATGTCCATCAAAAAGCTAGCTGTGATTCTGTGACCTCTTCAGAAATGGGGCAAAATGATCATAAAAATACACAATAATATTAATGGACACAAGACAAATGCCTTTACATTTAACTATTCTTACTTCTTTTTATTAACCATTAGTTTAATAAAAATATTAAATTAATTAGCACTTTTATAATTACCTATCTGTTGACAATTTTTATGGTTTGATGTGAGTGATGTAAATAAGGTTAGATTAAATATTATATTAGATAACTTTTAAAACTTAATGATTTATGTTTAATTATACTTAAATTCATCAAGATTGTATTCAACAATTTATAAATTAAAGTACTGAACAAGTAATGATATCCTCGGAATATTTTGTCGTCCAGTAAAGCATACGACAATAACTAGGTTAAAATATGCCACTTCGTGATGGAACCTCACGGTAATAATATATTATCTAATTGTTATATCATCGTATAACTCAAGAGGTATGGACAAAAAGTAAATTGACCTCACATAAACATATTTATTTTATACTTTATTTAAGTACTTTTTTTAATAAAAAATTTGATATATTATTTGTTTATGTATATTCTTTTAATCTAAGAACTTAAATTTCATATCCAAACGTACTTTTCTCAAAATATATATAAAATACAGACAATAATTATAGGTAAATGTAAATGAAAATAATAAGATAAGTATACTTAATAACCAACCACCACTCAATATGCAAATTATTTTAATAGAAATTTATTAATTTTATTTTTTACTTGTACTTTTTAATAACAAAATAATTAATATTTTTTAATCTTAAAAATTTAAACAGAGAGTATAAATAAGAGTTATAATATCTTATATTTAGCATTATGAACAATTATGCATACATTTGACACAATCTCAAATAAAATATTAAAATAATCAAATTAAATATTTTAATAATAAGAAAAATAAATAAAAAGAGAAAAAAATAATTTAATTAAAATTAAATTATATTTAGGTGATCATCATAAAGAACTTTTTGAGACTTACTGAAATTTTATTTTTATATGAAATTATTTATCAAATATATAAATATATACCTTCCAAAAGAGAAAACTTGTAGATAAGTTGATGGTTTATCATCATCCTTAATAATCAGAATCATAAGTCTAATTCACATTCTGTCATGATTTTAAGATATCTAATTATCTATGTTGTAAAAACCCACACCATCTGATTTCAGGCATGTTTGAAATATGTCGGGTGTTGGTTAGTTCTGTCATTAATTAGAATAACAACACATGAAATCTTTTGAGTCATAAATTACGCAAAGCATATTATACTAAGGTTAATGATGTTGCACAAAACATGTTTGATACTAGTATTATTTTACTTTGCATAATACAACAAGTTTTGAAGGGAAAGTTTCATGTAAAGAATATTAAATACACCAGATTATGGTACCATGTTTGATAGTTCATACAATTAACTCTATTATTATTATTTCAAAATATATTATAATATATCCACAATTTACTTAATTTTAAGAAGTTAATTATTTTAAATAATTACTTAATTATTATTTTTTTCACATGAAGAAAGGACTTATCTGTGGGTTAATTTTATCAAATCATTTTACAGAAATATTATTTAAGTTTAATTAATTATATTGTTTAAGGCTGTGAAAAAAAAAAAAAAACTACATTGTTTACGCGTAACTACCATCATTATATATCATACATTAAGGAGTAAAATGATGAGGCCAATAAAGCTATAATAGTTTTCAAAACCTAATACACAAGTTGGGATTACAATAATTGTTCTTAAATTATTGTCTTCTAACATAGTAAAGGAACTGGTGGTCAATGAAGATACTTAAAAATATATAAAATAACCTACAAAAGCAAACAAAATAGAGAGCATATCTAGTTAATAAAATATAAGATATATAAACCATTACTTTATTGCGAAGGAGTGAGAGGTGTTTCTTTTGAGTTTTTAATGAAACGAATGAATTCTTCCGCATATCATAATTTATGCATAATATGTTTTGCTTAATATATGTGAAATAAAATCATGTAAATTTAGTTAGGGTTTGGTTCATCGGACATAGGATACCTGACTTAGGAAACCTTAACTTTTCATATGCCAGAGGGTGGAACTTAGGCATCTGTGTTTCTGATATTGTCTGTTCTAGGACCGTGTCCCCTTCTTTCTAGACATATACATATTTAATAAATTGATTAATATGTACGTTTCTTTGAAGCAATTAATATTTTCTTTATCTATTTTTTTCTCTTAAGATTATTTATTTGGAACTGGTAAAGGATGATATTAGTTATTTCTATTAGGATCGAGCGCTTACCACTAGACCAAAAGCTATAGCCATTAGTCAGAGCGCAACTCTTTTTACTTAAGAGTAACAACCCAAGCGCCACGATTCGATTGTGACTCGACTCACCGGCCTCTGCCACAGGACAATTGATGCTACCCGCAACAATCTCCTCTCGACGAATTGTCCTACGAGGAATCCCACTTGGATTGTGACTTGGCCCATCTAGCCTACGCCACCGATTGTGACTTGGCCCACTGGCTCGTGACACGGGACAATTGTGCAACCTGCAACAATCTCCCTTAACTATTGCTCAACAGGAATCGAACTCGTGACCTTGGCTCGATACCATTTGTTAGGATCGAGCGCTTACCATTAGGCCAAAAGCTATAACCATTAGTCGAGCCGCAACTCTTTTTACTTAAGATGTAACTACATGCGCCACGATTCGATTGTGACTCAGCTCACCTGGCCTCTGCTACAGGACAATTGATGCTACCTGCAACAATCTCCCCCTCAGCAATTGTCCTACGAGGAATCCCACTTGGATTGTGACTTGGCCCATCTAGCCTACGCCACCGATTGTGACTTGGCCCACCTGGCCTGCGCCACGGGACAATTGTGCAACCTGCAACACTTTCTCTGTGTGAAGCTCAAAATGATTGAAAAATAAATAAATAAATGAAAAGATGAGATGCATGCTCAACGAGACAAAGGTTCTAATGGATTTGTTCGCGGTGGAAAAATAATGTCGAATCTTATTTTCTTTATTCAGTTATCCAAAACGACGAACTTCATTTCGGTCCAATCATAATATTTGTTTTGAACTTTCATATAACGATAAATTTATATATTACAAATTAAAACACATCTTTGAAGGGCGTAATTCTCTTTTGGAAGTGTATACTGCACAACTTGAGTCCACCTCTTGTCTTTTTTATAGAAAAATATTTTTTTTTTTATTTTTATGAATGATTTTATCGTATTTATCAGCACCGTTTCATCAACGAATAAATATTAATCAGACACTGCACGATGATGACTGAAGGAAAATTTGGCAGTGATATTTCTCTCAATTATTTTAGATTTTTTTTATTGTAGTACAAATACAAATTTAAATTTATAATAACCTTCATTAATTAAAAATGAAGTACAAATTTTTGTTAAAAATCTGTTATTTTAATTATATTTTTCTTGAACCATTTTATTTGATTATTTATTATAATTATAAAATAATTTGTATATTTTGTTATGAACTTTATAAAAACCCTAAAGAAAATTGATATCATAGAAGATGGATGTGAAATAAATAGATACACATGTTTGTTGATTATAAGCAGTGTAAAGTATAATGGATTGGAAAGTGACAGGTTGTGGTTGTTATCTTAAATTAAAATTACTGCAGTCACTCACTGAGTCTTGAATGGAGATATCTAAGAAAGAAGAAACAGAGGAAATCTCTCAGCTGTACTTCCAAGATTCAGCAAATCAGCCAGCTTGCGTATGTTTTGTATTGTTACTATTATTATTAATAATTAATTATTAATTATTATTATTGTTATCATTTTGGTGAGACTAATTTGTATTATTATGTTACAAGGTTGTGGTATGACATTGACAATGGCAGCACTTCCCTATACTCAAACACACACTGGTTTTGCTTTTTATGGCTAAAAACTTGTCCTCTCTGTTCTTCCTTTTACTTTCATTCTTCATTGCACATTTTACCATCACCCTTCTTTATTTCTTAGAAATCACACACTTGTAAAAGATAGAATAACTAAATTAACCACTTTTTAGTGTAATTTATTCTTATGATTATCATTATTATTATGTTGGCTGATATAAGAAACACATAGAACAGAACAAATGATTAGTAGCAGTATGAAGTGGTTAAAGTTAAACACATGGTGAGTATGATTAAAAATGTTGACTTGACGGAGTTTATGAAATTGGGGTTGGGATGAAAGAAAGCATTGTGACTTGTCACGAGCTACACACAGTGAGGGAGGTTAAACAGTAAAGTGAAGCTATAAGACTACATGCAAAGCTAAATTATGAAGAAAGCTGTTACCTTAGCAGTTGGCTCTGTCTGAAGTTGTCTGTGTCTGTGTGTATTGCAAGTCACTGTCTCCGCTTTAGAAATAGAACCGGTTACTTAGAATACAAACGGAAAATAAGATACCATTCCTGTGCTTAATGAGTTCATCACCAGTCCCATCTTCAAAATCATTTGAGTTTCTCTTTCTTCACCCTTCAGGAGAGAGAGTGTTTGGAGGGGTTGAAGAAGCATAGGGGGGTCCTACTGCTTATTGTTTGGAGGGCAGTAACAGTCCCTGTCAATGATTTTTACTTGGGTGGTGACTCTCTCATTTCAATGACCCACCCAATCAATATAACACTTGCTTATTGCTGGGGTGGGGATTTTAATCAATGAGCCAAACCTCCTCCTCCTCCTCTTCATCTTTGCTTCTTTCATCCTTTCTTTTCTCTCTGGGTCTTTTTCATCACTAGGAGGACTTGGAGTAAGAACTGTGACATAAAGGGAAACCCGGATCTCAGTCATATGAAGAGGCCCTCAACAGTGAGTTCTCTTTCATTACTACTCTCTCTGTCATTTCCTACATTGTCCCTGGGAGAGTTCCCCATCTCACTTCTTCACAAGCTTAGTAGTGAATGGAGTAAGATCTAAAAGTAAAATCTTTTTCAGACAGATGAAGAGTAACACTGGTTTGATCATCCACTGTTCATCTTTTTCTATAATTTGTGGTACCTGGACAGTGGAAAACTGGGTGGTGATTGGTTTTTCACTTTTGCTTGCTCTATTTGTGTTTAATTTAACTTTAAACTTCTTCTTGCGCTATTAACCGTGTGGAGAAAATGTAGCTGATGATCTGAGGAAATTTCGAACTCATCAAAGTGTAATTGTGTGTTGCTCTTCCTAGATCATACCCGAATTTCATAATTTTCTTGGCCTTCTTAATTAAGGCTGAAGAAGCATGTGAATTGCTGTTGTTTTTCACGGTTTAATAAATTGATGAAATGAGAAAGTTACCCACCCCTATTCTCACTTGCATTACATGGTAACTGATGGTGAAAGTTTCTCTTGCAGCTCGTGGAAGTGCTTCTGGTGCTTGCATTGCTCAGTTGTAGCCCATGGATAGTGCGGAGCAACACGCTTTGCCAACAGACAAACGACGAAGTTCGACCTCACAGCGTCAGCATCACTGAATTTGGAGCAGTTGGCGATGGGATCACTCTCAACACAAAAGCATTTCAAAATGCTATCTTCTACCTGAATTCCTTTGCGGACAAAGGTGGAGCTAAGCTTTTTGTCCCGGCTGGTCGGTGGTTAACGGGTAGTTTTGATCTCATCAGTCATCTCACTTTGTGGTTGGACAAGGATGCAGTAATTCTTGGATCAATTGTAAGCCACTCTTTGTAAATAATGTAGGACAAATGAGGAAGTTTAGTACAACTGCTTAGCTGGCTTGCCTGCAGTTTTCTCCACAGTAGAAGATCAGTTCGAGCATAGTTTTCATATTCTTACTTGGCAGTGGTGGTCTGTTTAAGTTAATAATTTGCCATACAATGCATGGATTGTATTTCAACTTCTAAATTTGGTTAACTCGGGTTGAATTTATGCACTGGGTTGATAGTCTAATGTGTTTAGATAGACTTCTCTATAACCTATTCATAAATTAATTTGTCGTTCCAATTTTGACATGCATGTCCCTCTTGTTGCAGAACCCTGAAGATTGGCCAGTTGTTGATCCTCTACCGTCGTATGGGAGAGGAAGAGAGTTGCCGGGTGGAAGGCATAAAAGCCTCATTTTTGGGCGCAATTTGACTGATGTGATCATAACAGGTTAGTAACAGTCAGCAAATTTATATTATCAATACATAAATTGGTATATTGATATTGTCAATGTTTCAATGAAGGTAATAATGGAACTATCGATGGTCAAGGGAGTATATGGTGGAGCAGGTTTAGGAAAAAAACTCTGGACTATACGCGTCCCCATTTGATAGAATTGATGAACTCAACCGGGGTTCTCATTTCAAATTTAACCTTCTTGAATTCTCCATTTTGGACAATCCATCCTGTATATTGCAGGTTTGTCCCCGCTGAAGGATTGAGTTTATATTTTATTCCTTGTTTTCCGTAGTTCAAGTACTTTCATTGTCTTTTAAAACTGTGCAATAGTGGATCTATCATGATTAGGGGGAGATCTGAGACTCTTTTTCTGGATGAACAGCCAAGTTACAGTTCAGAAAGTGGCGATCCTTGCTCCTCTTGATTCTCCAAACACTGATGGGATTGATCCAGGTAAACTTTCTCCCTTTAGACTGGAATGGCATGCTATAGTTTAATTGACAATCACCAAACATTCTTCTACCTTAATTTTTATAAAAGATCCACTGTTTGAAGTTGTCTTGGTATGGTACCAAGCTTTTGAAGAAAAACTGTCATTTGAGGTTAAATGAAGGCCGACTATCTAAATTTATATGCATAAGCTAGAGGTTTAGAGCAATATGCCTATAAAAAGTGTTTACATCCTTACAAATCACAAATATTTTCTTTTAGAAGACTGATTAGATTCTCACACATACCTTTAAAATGTGTCCAGACTCTTCTGACAATGTATGCATTGAAGACTGTTACATAAGCACTGGTGATGATCTGATTGCCATCAAGAGCGGTTGGGATGAGTATGGCATTGCATATGGTCGCCCCTGCACAAACATTATCATCCACAGGATTGTTGGCAAAACTCAAACGAGTGCAGGGATTGCAATAGGAAGTGAGATGTCTGGTGGTGTATCTGAAGTTCATGTAGAAGATATTCAATTCTACGATTCATATACAGCAATCAGAGTAAAGACTTCTCCTGGAAGGGGTGGTTATGTTAGAAACATCTATGTCTCAAACGTGACCTTGGCTAATGTAGATATTGCTATTAGGTTCACTGGTTTGTATGGGGAGCATCCAGATGATGCTTATGATCCAGATGCTCTACCTGTAATAGAAAAGATTACAATCAAAGATGTGGTGGGAGAGAATATCAAAACGGCAGGTCTTATAGAGGGTATAGAAGGTGACAATTTTGTCAATGTTTGCCTATCAAACATTGTTCTTAATGTGACCTCAAACTATCCATGGAACTGCTCCTATGTTAAAGGATATTCTGACTTGGTTCTTCCAGAAGCTTGTGAGCCTCTCAAGGAAAGAATATTCCCTGAGCATTGTTCAGATTGTTACTATTTGGCAAATCAAATTCAGAGTTCCAAAAGCCAACATAGAGGTGCTTGGTTTATGTCTTGGTAAATTGTGGAGTTTATACCAAAGCTCACTTTGTAGCTGAAATTTGACTGGTTCATTTTTTCAGCAGGGCAATGAAACTTCAGGTGACATAGGTTGAGTAGAGTTGGCGAACTGTGATTGTGCATCTTCAGAAACACACCGAGAAATGATATCTTTTTGTAGCTTGTATGCAGTGACAAATAATTGAGTGATTTATCAGAAATAGGAAGTTGGATGATTTCATGTCTTGCTTTTTCTAGTTACCATGGCTTTGGAAAAGAAAATTGCAAAGTTTTGTGTTTCAATGATTCCAAGGGAAGGAATGTTTTTGGCTGTTGATAGAGGTTAAATATGGTTGCTGTGACATAATTCCCTTTTGCCAAAAATGTTGTCGGACATAGGAGATTTTGCAGTAGTACGATAAGGTGTTTGTTAGCTTTACATTTCTTTTGTTTGAATAAGGAATCCAATAAATAAACTTCCTAGGATGGTGAATTTACTCAATTACATCCTTCTCCTTTTGCACTCGCATAAATAGTCTTACTATTTACTGGTTTATTTTCATTTCTCTTTTAGGCTCTGGATAGTACCTCCAGAGAGAGAGAAAAAAAAAAAAAAAAAGAACACCAAGGTGCATGTACCATCCAAAAAGAAAACTATTTTCCCTCGAAAATGAATTAAAAGCATTACTACTAGAAACTTTAATTTTTATGGGATTTTTTTATCAAATTTTTGTAAAAATTGGCAGAAAATAAGTTACCAATTTTCATACAAATTTTTATTAGCGTGTAATTAGTTATTATCCAGGAATTTAATATTCACAAAAATTTCTTACAAAAGTTTTTGTGAAAAAATTTGTAAGGATTTTTTTGCAAATTTAAATTTGCATATTAGTTTCCTATAATTTAAATTTGCATGTAATTTCTTGTCAGTTAAATATGCATGTGATTTCTTACCAATTTAAATTTGCATGTTAATTTTTACCAATTTCAAATTCAGTAAATAACTTTAAATTTACAAATAATTTATTGGTAATTTTAGATTTGCGGGAATTTCTCGCTAATTTTAAATTCGCAGGTAATTTATTATGAGGTTATTTTTTTAAGAAAATTAAATTTTTTTTGTATATATATATATATATATATATATATATATATATATATGAAATTGACAAAAAGACATTTATTATATATTTTATTTTATTACATAATTAAATGACTATAAAAGAAAAATTATTTTTTTATTCGACTAAAAATCTAAGCTAAAAACAAAATTAACGTGAAATGTTTTTTTAAGAGAGTTATTTAGTCTTACATCAACATGATCCCTATGAATTATAAGACAAAACATAAACAAAATAAAATACTATTATATGAATGTAATTATAAAAAATGCATGAAATGAAATTATCAATGTTTGGAAACATGAGATTGTCTTGAAACTTGAGATTCATTTATACGGACAACATTGTTCCCTTGCATTGTTGAGTTCTTAGGTATTTAAAATAACTATGTTCTCCATTGTTGAACAAGTAATTTGGTCTATATTAATTTGAGAATGACAACATCAAGGAAAAATTACAAAACAAAAATGATGCAACACCTAGCAGGAAAAGTTCACCAAATTCCCTGCAAACAATATTATTATTTAAAATTAATGTAATATTACTACTATTCATTTTAAGACTTTACTTTATATTTCATTTATATCAAACAACAACAAGAGTTCAAAATTAACTAAGAATCTAAATCTATAATTACTTACAAATATATTTTTACTTGCACAAATTTTGATAGAATATCTCCAACCTTGTTAGACTTGAAAGATCTTCCCTGCACGATGATCTTTCTTAAGTAATCTGAATAACAAAAGATCAACTGCAATGCAAATTTTTGTCATTGTCAGAATCATATCAAATCTTTAATTCTGAAATTCAAATGAAAACATGTAAATGACTAAACTCAAATATTAAAACGTCAAAATAGAATAAATAATTCAAAACTTTAAAATCTTGTAAAAAAATGCATCAAAGCAAATCATTGTTGTTGTCAAAATCACATCATATCTTTAATTCCTTGCAATTTCATTATTACCTTCAATAATTCAGTTAAGTGTTATAATAACTCAAGAATAAAATTTTAAATATTACCCTCTTCAATATGATCAATGTCTTCATCATTATCATCATTTTCATTGCTATGTTGAGATGATGAAGATGGTAAAGAAGAAGATGCAACAAACCCTAAGTGTTGCATTAAGGCTGCTACTTGATTCTTAGTTTCACTTAACTCTTTTTTCATTTTTTGCTTATCTTTCTTTTGTCTTCGTAACTCTTGTCTCATTTCTTGTTTTTCTTATTCTTACCTATGTAATGATTCATTTAAGGCTTGAATTTGACTCCTTAAAGTATCAACATTTTCAAAATTTGACTTCTTAGTTGAAGATATGATTAACATTTTGGCTAGAGATCTAAAACCAAATATTCTTCCCTTATTTTTTCCAATTGAATCAATCCATATATCCAAATATGATGACATTTGGCTCATGGATTGTTCACCATCAATTGCATCCTCCCCAAAACTATGAGCTAATAACTCATTTTTATTTTGTTCAAATTTCTCCTGCAAATGAATATAAATAACAAAAGTGAGTGAAAAATGTTCAATTTTTTAAAATTTTCTATCATTCTTTCAAAATAAAGAAATGAAATAGCAGTTTTACATAAACTTAGTATCTTGATTTCTTTATTTTTACTTTTCAGTGCCTAATGAGTAGCAACCAAAATATCAGGGTCATCCTCATTGAAAACGGGCATAGTCTCTTTCCTACATACTACATACTATACTATTCCAGCTTAACCAATTAATGTAATGTTGCAATATGTCAACCTGGTGGGAGCCATAAAAATTTGTATTAAGTCCTAATTATCAAATCAATCATCTTCCCCAATGGGCAAGTATTTCAGATCAAACAATTGCAGGGCAACTAGTATATCATGAAGAAAATGGATCCACTCCTATCGAATTTTAACAAGATAAGTCATGTTAAAATTTTATACCTATTTCTCTCTAGATAGATCGATAAATATGGATCCAGCCATTTAATGTTTATTGTGAAAGAAATACACACAATGATAAATCTAGAGAGCCTCTGTGCGATAAAAGACGATATTACCATTAAAACTTTGATTATCTCTAGCCATAAAGCTTGGTCCCTTCCAAATTCTTTAATCAATTAAAGAAATGTATGTGCAGAGGAGTAGTATTGATTTCTTTAACCTAAATGCAAAGCTAATTAATAGATAACTACTTTCATATTTGATTATGTGTTTATCACACTACCAATGTGCTTATCAAATTGAAAACTTACAAAAGCAATTTTGGCATGAGGACCAACCCAACTTTGATCCTTCTTTCTCCGATGTGTACAAAAATAAAACTCAGTCAATGATGGGTCTATTCCTTTTTCCTCTTTCTGATAACAAAGAAAGTTTAATGTTATTAATTCTAAAATGTAAATGATAAAAAATTAAGTAAAGTAATAATATCATTCTCTTCCAATATAAACGATGAGGTATTGATCCACCCGTATGAAGAGATGTACCATCCAAAACTACCCGATTTCTTTTATGTGTTTTAGACTTATTTTTAAAACTTGAGGATTCCCAATGTGTCTTTAATTGTCCCCACACATTCTCTCTCATCCAAATGGGTTTTTTCTCTAGATCTTTTCTAGCATCTTGCATTAATTGAGACATTTTAGATGCACCTTTTCTCTCAAAGTTACGTCGCACCATGTCATTATATTGAGGTGACCAAGAAAATTTTGACTACATTATTTTTGAGAAAAATGAAAAAAATAATGATTATACTAGAGACATTTTTCAAAAATAAATAAAATCTTTTAATCAAAATTTAAAAATTAATTACTTTGAATATATCAAACCAAGATTCCCTTTGATCCATGGATAACTTCTTCCATGATGGCTTTGTCTCTTCCAATTTAGAGCAAATGATTGAAGCAATCATCCCCACTACCAACTTGTGTTGATCAAACCTATATAAGACAATAAAAATTATATTATGTTAAGAAAGTTAAAATAATTCACTAAAAAAGTTACTTACCCATCACCTTCTGGAAGTATTCAGATTTTCTTCCTGTTATTGTCTCCACTAACATGGCTAGACAAAGAAGATGGAACTTCATTTGCCACTTGAAAATCATGCATTTGAAAGACATGTTGAGTAGGGATGGATTGATATTGGGAGGGCCTATGTGGATGTGGAGGTGGAGGAGGAGGTTGATATATAGGTGGATGTGGAGGCTGAGATGAAGGAGGAGGTGGATGTTGAGATAGATGTGAAGGTGAAGGTCGAAATAGAGGTGGACAAGGTGGAGGCTGAGATGAAGGAGGAGGTGGAGATGGAGGTTGAGATAGATGTGAAAGTGAAGGTCAAAATAGAGGTGGACAAGGTTGAGGCTGAGTTGAAGGAGGAGGTGGAGGTTGAGATAGATGTGAAGGTGAAGGTCGAAATAAAGGTGGTGAAGGTCGAAATAAAGGTGGACAAGGTCGAGGTTGACATGAAGGAGGAGGTGGAGGTTGAGATAGATGTGAAGGTGAAGGTCAAGGTGAACAAGGTGGAGGTTGAGATCTACCAATGGTTGCAACTCATCTACTAATGGTTTCAAATACACATCAATTTTAGCTTTTGGATTATGTGGACCTGGAATGATCAAAGTCAAGAACATATAAGGAGTCATCATACATAATTATGGAGGGAGATTATATGGTGTGACAATTACTGGCCAACAAGAATATGGTATTGCTGATTGGCTAAAAGGAGTGAACCCATGACACACAAGTCAAGTCTCACATTTCGAGGTTCTGAGGCAAATTCAGGATATAATTTATCAAATTCCTTCCTAAGCTTCCCTGTCTGAAGGATGACACAACACACCTTCCTTACGATTTTCATAGTGCCACCTCATGTGCTCTGCAGATCTCGTTGAAGCATATAACCTTTGTAATCTAGGAATGAGTGACAAGTAATGTAATCTCTTATGGGGAACATCTTTAGGATATTTCTTACATTCATTGGGTGCTTTATTCGAGGCTTTCTACAAAATTTACATTCCTTCAAAGTACTGTCACTTTTGTAATACAACATACATCTATCAATGCAACAAACTATTTTTATCCTCGATAAACCAAGTCCTGCTACAAGTTTCTTTGTTTCCCTAAAATTGGAAGGAATAACATTCTCCGGGTGGTTTGATTGTTTCATAAATTTCATGACGTCATTCAGCTTGCGACATATTGTGTTTAGATTTTATACTCAACATCGTAATAGCAGCAGACAACTCCAATGTATTTTTACATCCCGACCATAATGGTTGTTGAGCCGAATTTAGCATTTTGTAAAATTTGGCAGCTTCCATATTTGGAGGTTCCTCTTCATTTGGTATAAAATGTTGCTCATGATTAAGACCAGCAGCATCAAACACCATATCTTGATGTCTATTAACACTATTAGAATCCCATGGGTGACTACTACTTGACACTGAATGCATATCAACATTAACATTAGTATGAGGGATTTTCTCTCCATGAGATGTCCAATACCAATACTCAAATGTAAATCCTTTTCGGAGAAGGTGAACATTTACTTCATCTGGAATTAAGAACCTCTCATTTTAACATTCCTTACATGGACACCTTATTTTTCCTTCAATATAAAAACATGGTTGTTGACAAGCAAAAGTCATAAACACATCGATACCACTTAAAATTTCATTTGTTTATGCCTCCAGACCAGGAAGAAGCCTATTATACATCCATGCTCGACGTTCAGATATGTCCATTATAAGATTGACTCGAAAATGCCTAAAATTATTATACATATAAAAAGATAATATTAATAATACACATAGAACTATTTTGAACAAGAAATTAAAATTATTTTGACTTGTAAACTTCATATACGAGATTTAAAGGTCTTCACAAACTCTTACCAAAACAACAATCTAAAAAGAAACATCAATGTTACAAATTATAACCATATATTATAAAAGGAATGATCAAGAAAGGTGATTCTTAGAAACAAGAAAATGAAGAAAAATATTGTTGCTCCTATCTTTAATATCAAGACAATGACTATTGTGGAGTTTAATTTCAAGATGAAATGAATATCACTGCTTGAGTTAACAAGAAATTTCATATATCAAGATAATGACTACACTAGGGATGGGTTGGACCCTGTTAGAAATATTCAATTACATTCAATATTCGTAACCAAAATAATTCCATCGTTGTTTGGCCTAAAAAAATATTGACACAAACCAAGTGCTACCAAAAACATGCCACAGATACTGTCCTAAAAAACTTCAAGGCGAGACAAGAACTATTTAGAGTACCATGTACAGACCCAACATATTTAATGGCCACAAACTAAGTTCTACAAAAAATGTGACAGATATTCCTCATGACCTTCTCTTCCTACACTTCAATAATATTATCACACACCTGCTTTTATTACAGAAAGATTATTTTGAAATGTAGATTCTTTATTCTGAATTTTCTAAACTATATTTAAAGCGGATGTCTTCTTGCATTACAAAGGATATTGGTTAAGAGTATTAAAGGCAGGAAGCAACAGAGGCAAAAATTATGTAGAGTTTTTTTAATAGACCAGAATAACAAACATGCTAAAACAAATATCCATAGAATGTGCATATGCAGGAGATATTGATTACATTACTTCAACATACTATTCTAAAGCACACCAGAATAACATCCTCATTAACATAGATAGAGATATACGTAAATTTCTTGCAGAATATTACACCCTCTGCTATATGCAAAGAAAATAAATGAAAAAGACTCATATATGAGTAACTGAACTCAACTTTCTTTTTATTTTCTCTGTTAATTCTTAAACCATGCATATGTTTCTTTCTTCTGGTTTAAGCTTCATGTTTCGTGTTTTTCTGAGTATTTCACCAATGTTACTTTATAAGGGTTCAATTACTGACCCTAAGCTAAAGCTGGATCAAAATGCCAAAGTTAAGGGTTCACAAACTCTATCACAGAATAGAACAAAAACAAAACCAGCATTTGGTTCACGCATGTAGCTAGAATATAAAAAAACCATGTGTTAGTGTGTTGACATGTGTGTTTTGAATTTTGTGAATGAGTTAGTCCTTGAGAAAGACATAATCATCGTGTGTTGATTTTGAAAAAATATGTTAAAACATCATGGTACTACTACTGCAACCACAACAACATATAAACTATGGTTAGTTATCTTAATCAGGTCTTTTAAACCAAACTAAACAAAATGGAAGGCCCTAGTGTTGATCTTGATTAAACTAATGAAGATTGAAGTAAAATTGTAAGGATTATTATTTGTGTTGTAAAGTGTAAAAAGTATATGAAAGAGGCAGACACAATTTACCTTATTGAGTCTTAAAAAGGTTGATGCAGAAGGTAGAGAAAGCAAGGCAGGGATGAGAAGTAGTGAGCAACGCAACCCAAAATATTAGAAACATCATATGAAATGAAAACCCTAGGTTGCAGTGTTAATCAAATTACGTTAAATGGAGGCTCTGAAAATTTCTTTCCCTAGTCTTCAACAGACCCTTATCTGCAACAGAAATCAAACCCAATTTCATTTCCACGAGCCCTAACATTCAAACTAGTAATAAAAAGTAAAACAATAACTAGAATAAGTTATATAATACACTGGATAGTTGAATAAGTTGTGTGAAAGAGAATTAAAATACCAAAGATTCTGGCGGTTAAGGTTAGACCTATTTATGTGATATTTTTCGTCTTCCACTGCGATTCAAGTCACTGCGTCGACAACGCGGAGGAAGGAAGAAGAAACAGTAGTGGTTAAAAGGAGAAGAACTGTAATGTGGTCGAATGAAGAAGAAATGAAGAAGAAACTGGATATTGTTAATGGAAGCAGAGAGACAGATGAAAGTGATGAAGATCTTATTGAATCATTTGATAAAACGAAGATCTTATTGATTTGATGAAGTCAAAGGCTAATCTGATGAAGTCAAAGGTTACTTGGATTAAAAGGGTAGAGTGATTAGTGAGTTTGTATCTATACATAGGTATAATCATTCATATCTCTCTACTGCATGAGGTTTCATCATTTAAAAGATTTTGAAAATGCCTCTAAAGATGTTTAATCTGTTTAAAACCAAAGTAATCGGTTAATTGGTTGTTTAAACTGATAGTATATGAGTTTTATCAATTAAAATGTTCTTAAAACTTAAATAACAGTTTTTTTAACTAGTAGGTTTTTGAAATAATCGATTAAAACCTTTTAAAACATTCATTGGAACTGTTTTAACCGATACACTTTCGAATTAATTGATTATTTTTATTAAAGGAGTTTTTGAAAATCTTCTGCCAGTGTTTTAACTGATATAGTTTTGAAATAATTGATTAAAATCACTTAAAATATTTTGGAAAGTATTCTGGCAGTATTTTAATCGATATAAACTCGAAACAATCGATTAAAATAGCTTGAAGTGTTTTAAAATATGTTCTGTCGAGTATTTTAATTAATACAAACTCGAAACAATCGATTAAAATAACTTGAAATATTTTGAAAGGTGTTTTGTCGAATTTTAATCGATGTAAAATCGAATTAATCGATTAAAACAATTTAAGGGAATTTTTGCTCACTTGTTTTAATCGATTAAAACTGGTCGTTATCAGTTAAAATCACTTAGAAAGTTTTATGAAAATTTTTGGCAAAATTTTAATCGATTAAATTGCGAATTAATCGATTAAAACAACTTAAGAGATTTTTTACAAAGTGTTTTAATCGATTGAAACATCGTCGTATCAGTTAAAACAAATCTGGAACATTTTAACAAATTAAAAGAAGTTTTAACAGATTAATTCAAGACTTTTAACAGAATAAAAGATTGTTTTAACAGATTAATTAAATCAAGTAGTTAGAACAAATCTCTATATAAACATGATTGCTTATGTCTTTTAAAATATACCTTTGAGCAATCAATCAAGCAATCATAAGTGAAGTTTTTCAAGAAAGAATCGCACAAGTTCTGTGGTGTTTTTGAAAGTTCTTTCTTGAGGTATTTTTGTATCTTTTTGTGAAGAAACTCGTATTGCAGGGACTGCATAATCCGAATTAGATTGTTCTAGTTTTTTCTCTTTTGTTTTCTTTCATTCTTTGTTGTACTGTGAGTGCCTGGAATTGTTAGGCACAGTTTCTGTGGCTGGAATTTGGTTGCAGGTTGGTTCAAGAACTGGAAGTTGGTTCTTGGTGAAGGTTTAGGTACAAGGACTAAAATTTTGGTTCTTGTGGTAGATTGAGTGTGTGATTGGAATCTGTAATCTGTAAAACATTCAATCTAGTGGAACTCAGTTGGAATTTGGCTGAGAACTCAACGTAGCCCTGGGATTGGGTGAACCAGTAAAATCTTTGTTGTATTTCTCTAAACCTTACTATCTTTAATTCTGCTACTGCCTTTATTTTAATTGCTTGTTTTGCTTGATTCAAGAATTGGTCATAACTCTTAATCTTTGAAATAGATGATCTGTAAATTGCGAAAATCTTTCAAAGATCAATTCACCCCTCTTGATCTCAGCCTCTTTTTCTAACAACGAGACGTCGACTAGCGATCGACAAACAAATTTCAGTTTTTGTTTTTTTTTTATATTTTAATTATTTTCAAAGTAACCAATTATAAAATATTTTATTATTTTTCTATAAAAATAAGTAAAATATTTTTTAAAAAATATTATTTTTAAATTTTGCTGCCATTTTTTAAAATATTATTAAATCTTTTTTTACAAATTTTATTTATAAAAAAATATAGAAAATAATTTTCATTCCTGCCAAATTTTATATGAATATATATTTGAAAAATAAAATAAAATTATAATTATATAATTG